AATAATGGAACACAATTCCCCCTGGAGACACCAACTATGGGGCACTATGCCTCCCACTGACATCAATGATGGGAGCATTATTCCTCCCCTCTGACACAAACAATGGACTATTCCTCCTACTACTGACATCAACAGTAGGCCACCACTCCTTCCAATGACTGCTGGAGGCATTTTTTTTGTTACTCCCACTGACCAACAGCTCAAGGGCAGTTTGTGCTTCTACTGACACTGAGGATGGATCATTTTGACTTCTAATAACCACTGAGACAAGAAGCATTTTTTACACCCTTTGATGCCAGGGCTACTTTTTATTCCCACTGATGGCCCGGACCATTTTTTTTCTTCTACTGACCATAGTCCAGCCCACCAACAGTCTGATGGACAATAAACTATCCCATTGTTGAAAAAGTTTTTGAACCCTTGATTTAAGTCACACAAAAACATAATTTTTAGTTTTGGATAGGGTGGTGGTGGTGGTGGGTTAGAACCTTTGTCATGTTTTTACTACTATTCCTTACTTTATGTCCCAATTACATCATACAGGAAGTGCATTTTGAAATAGAGACACATGGTTTTAGGTGTTCTAGCCTTCCACCACTGTTTTGGTAAAAAAATGTGTCACCACCACAAAAGGATGTGAAAGGAAATACAGCCTTGAATAGGTCTTCCCTACTCCATCCAAGGCTAAAAGGTTTTGGCTGGACATACACTTTAAAATAGAGTTCCACCTGAAAAAAATGAAATGAAAGTCATCAACTACAAAAACTGTAGCTGCTGACTCTTAAAATACAGACACTTACCTGTCCCTTGGTCCAGCATTGTCTTCACCACTGCTGGTTTCACCGGCCGTCTTCTCTCCCTGGCACCGGCATCTTCAGCTTGCGGTTTCACAGCCGGGTGCCCTTTACGCATGAGCTAGAAGGTCTGCGCTTTGTGAATGGTCCCATAGTCTTCTGGGATCTGTCACGTGTCCCAGAAAAACTACGGAGAGGGAGGGGGGAGGACAACTTCCGCTTCCGATCGCTTATGCAATTGCAGCGGAAGTGAGAACGAGTACCTGTCAAATTCAGGTACCCCCCTGCTCCCCAAAGGTGCCATTCCTTAATGGGGAGCGGGGGACAAAGGCTTAAGCAGAACCCCTTTTGGGTGGAGCTCCACTTTAAGAACAGAAAATGAATGCTGATGATATACAGTAACATGTAGGTGTGCATTTTTCACCAAGATGTTTGACTGACTTACAAGGCTGGAGTTCTGCATAGCCAATATAGGTCATGGCTTGGTGGGTGGCAGCAGGGCCAGGGGAAGCACACAGTCAGCCACACATCAAGTTGCTGACCGAGCAGTATGTCTGGTCTTCATTGTTGCTAAGATTGTGTATTGATTTTTTTGGCAGACCAGTATATTTTGCATTAAAGTTAACACTCAATTTTAGTTTACAGTATTACAATGGTTTGCTTTACTTTGTTAGGCATCAGTTTAGGTACAGTATTTAGATTCATAGTGGGGAATCTTACCCTTCTCCACACTTGCCTTGTGTGGCTATGATGCATGAAGCTGGCCTGGGGTACGGAAGGGGGCAGGGAATCATGTTTGGTGTAGGATGGTAGGCAGCAATTATTATCCTATAATGTTGACTTGTGCTTGGTAATGAGCAAATTTATTGAACTGTATGTAAATTTTAGGTAACACTGGCTATTGCTCTTTTCTTGATAAAAGTTGCTGAGTAGAAAAAAATGAAATTACCTACATTTAAATCTCAAAGAACCTCAAAAGTTCTATATCATTTCAGACCTGTAACAGTTTATGGGATATAAAAAAAGTCTGTACTATCTTTTACTGATTTAAAACGTAGTATTCATTCAGCAGATGTGATACAAAAAAAGGCAACAAAGAAGTATCAACAAACATGCAAGCAAGTAAATAGTGAAGGATACACCATAAATGACTTGAAGTAAACAGGGCACTATTGTTTAAAACTTTCACACTCTTGAAAATTTTTAAAGAAATAGAATTTATGAAAAAGTGCACCCCAAAAATTCACTGTTTTCCGCTTAACTGCATGTTTTCCCCTTTCATTGCACTGTTTTCCTTTTAATTTCTTTGTCATGGCAATACTTCATCAATGTAAAAAAAAAAATCAAACGTTTCTGATAATTCTGGGGCTCCCAGTGGATTTTCACAAGCAGCACCTGTTGTCAAACCCGATAGAGCTTACAATTTAATTTCATCTGCCTGCAAACAATCTCTCTCATTAGGTGGTGAAATGATGATGGAACTCATTGAGGCATGCTGTTTCACTTTCTACAGGATAATGTATAACTACAGTCATCATTTGCAGCAAAAGGGAGGTGCAATTATCCTAAAACCTCATTGTGGAAGTGTAAAAAAGCAAAAGCATTATAAAAGCAGCCTGTGTAATTTCAGCACTTTTCTTTCTCAGTTTGCAATGTAATTATTGTCTTCAACGCAATCTCAGAACGTAACGCTGCAAATGATAGCAAGATAACGTTTTTCCATTATATAAACAAAGGTTATAGAAACTCGAGTGCGTTAAGATTTGTCTTTGCTTTACCTCCTTGTAGCTTTCCTATATAATGATTTTAAACTATGTAAAGACCAAGTCTATTACATTAATGTAATAGCAGCTATAGAAAATGATCACAGGATCAATTCTTATTTCATTAGCTGGTAAATTATAAGGCAAGGTCTTGGCACACTGAGCATGTATCCGACCAAGCATTTACACTTTTGTTAGTCCTAAAGTTCCATATAGCACCAGACAGAATTGGTTATAATATGCCCTACATGCTATGGCTTTATCGCTTGTTATATTAAAGCTCATCTCTGGGAATCAGCCAATAGGTACCCTTGTACTGGGGCCCCCTTTACTGCAATTGGTTAAATGCTCATTTAATCTAGGGGGGATATGAAGAGGATGATTTATTTACCTCACCCCTGCTCTGGTTGGCTCTAGGACTCTCCTTCTTCTCCCTGAAGCCTTGGGCTGTGGACAGTTCCTCTGGTAAGAGTCAGAACAGCTAGGAGCTATGCAAACAGCAAATAACAATATATAACAGTCAATGGAATTAGTAACAGCAGTTGCTTAGGAATGGTTTCCCAATAGGGTACTAGATGGCATACAATACAGTCTGTGAGAAGCTCAGGGCAATGAGGGACCCCAAGACGAGCCCCACAAACAAATGTCTCTGCTAGACAGCTGTAGGTACAGGACCATACCACTGGAAACACAGCACTCTAGAGACAGGTGATGTAGTATGCTCTGCAGTGACTAGGACTAGGTACAAAACTGCAAGCTCTTGTGTGTCAACTTAATAGTGGTGGTGGACCCGACACTTGGTGACAATACATGTGCCTGGTTACTCATGTGCTTACAGACTGTCAGGAATGGACTGGCCAGCAATGGTGGGACTCACCTGCCTTATGGGCTACAGTACCAGGGCTGGCCAGCGGGTGCTCCCAGCAATCAGAGACTCAACCTTGCAGCCAGCCAAACACCTGAAACTGCTTATACTGGTGTATTTAAGGGATGGCCAGACCTGCAGACTCTGCCTTGGTGTGTGTGTTTTCTCCTGTATAAACGCAATGCAGTCTTTGGTCAGACAGGCTTTGTGTAAGCTCAGCTTTGTTCAACCCATACTGCAGACATGGACAGATTTGTTGCACCCAGCCTCAGTCAGCTTACAAAAACCCAGTCCTGCTTCTAATCTGTTTCCTCAAAGCTCTATTCCTGCATTCCCAACAGCTCCTCCTGCCCTGCTATCTACCGCATGTCAGTACCCTGTTCCCACTCGCTGCACCTATCCTGCCTTTAACCCTGTAAAAAAGCCCTCTGTAGCAACTGCTCCCTCCCCTGTTCCATCCTCCAGCTCTTCTCTGTCTCCAGCTGCTCCATTTGTTTGCAGACCTGCGTTTACTTGCAGTGCTCCAGTAGTTAAAACCAGAAAAAAGCGAAAATTCTTTCCAACCAATACCATCCTGCCAGTATCCAAACCGGTGAGCCTGCCGTCTGAGAACATGCCTTCCGTGGTTCAGCCTGGTGCCTCGGCACCCGCACTTCAGCCTGAGGTCTGTACCCAGCCTGATGCCTGTACCCAGCCTGATGCCTGTATCCAGCCTGATGCCTCTACTCAGCCTGATGCCTCTATTCAGCCTGATGCCTCTCTTCAGCCTGATGCCTCTCTTCAGCCTGATGCCTCTCCTCAGCCTGATGCCTCTCCTCAGCCTGATGCTTCTCCTCAGCCTGATGCTTCTATTCAGCCTGATGCCTCTACTCAGCCTGATGCCTCTACTCAGCCTGATGCCTCCACTCAGCCTGATGCCTCCACTCAGCCTGATGCCTCCACTCAGCCTGATGCCTCTACTCAGCCTGATGCCTCTACTCAGCCTGATGCCTCCACTCAGCCTGATGCCTCCACTCAGCCTGATGCCTCTACCCAGCATGATGTTTCTACCCAGCCTGATGAACTGATCCAGCCTGATGATCCTATTAGGCCAGTTGACTCGATGCCCGCTGTTGATACAGACGATCCGGTACCTGATCCGGTGCCCGCTGTCGTGCCAATTGACTCAGAGCCCGCTGTTGTGCCTGGTGACTCGGTGCCCACTGCCTTGCCAGATGACGAGGTGCCCGCTGGCGAGCCAAATGACCTTATGCCTGGTGACCCAGTGCCCGCTGTCATACCTGGTGACCCGATGCCCGCTGTCGAGCCAGACAATCCGGTACCTGATGACCCAGTGCCCGCTGTCGTGCCAATTGACTCAGAGCCCACTGTCATGCCTGGTGACTTGGTGCCCACTGCCTTGCCAGATGACGCAGTGCCCGCTGTCGAGCCAAATGACCTGATGCCTGGTGACCCGATGCCCGCTGTCCAGCTAGACGGTCCAATGTCTGACCCAGTGACCGCGGTCATGCCAGTTGACTCGGAGCCCACTGCCTTGCCAGATGACGTGGTGCTCGCTGTCGAGCCAAATGACCTGATGCCTGGTGACCCGATGCCCGCTGTCCAGCCAGACGATCCAATGTCTGACCTAGTGCCAGCGGTCATGCCAGTTGACTCGGAGCCCACTGTTGTGCCTGGTGACTCGGTGCCTGTCGCTCCGCCTGGGGGTCCGGCGCCCGCCGCTCCGCCTGGGGGCCCGAGACCTGACGCTCTGCCTGGGGGTCCGGCGCCCGCCGCTCCGCCTGGGGGTCCGGCACCCGCCGCTCCCGTCTGAGGGCCCGGCGCCCGCCGCTCTGCCTGGGGGCCCGATGCCTGTCGCCCCGCCTGGGGGCCCGGTGCCTGTCGCCCCGCCTGGGGGCCCACTACCTGTCGCCCCGCCTGGGGGCTCGCTGCCTGCTGCTCCGCCTGATGGCCCGCTGCCTGCTGCTTCACCTGGTGATCCGATGTGCCTCTGCCCAGAGTCCAGCCCGATGTGCCTCTGCCCGGAGTCCAGCCCGATGGGCCTCTGCCCGGAGTCCAGCCCGATGGGCCTCTGCCCGGAGTCCAGCCCGATTGGCCTCTGCCCGGAGTCCAGCCCGATGGGCCTCTGCCCGGTGTGCCACTGCCCGATGGGCCTCTGCCCCGGAGTCCTGCCCGGTGTGCCGCTGCCCAGAGTTCTGCCCGGTGTGCCAGTCTTTGAAATCCCGCCAGTTACCAGACCCGGGCGGTGGAACATTTTGCCCAGCTAGGACTGTTTGGAGCGTCCTGAGGCCGCTCCTTGAGGGGGGGGGGGTGTACTGTCAAATGGACTGGCCAGCAATGGTGGGACTCACCTGCCTTATGGGCTGCAGTACCAGGGCTGGCCAGCGGGTGCTCCCAGCAATCAGAGACTCAACCTTGCAGCCAGCCAAACACCTGAAACTGCTTATACTGGTGTATTTAAGGGATGGCCAGACCTGCAGACTCTGCCTTGGTGTGTGTGTTTCTCCTGGGCCCTGTATCCTGTTCCTGCTACCCTGTTCCTGCTACCCTGTTCCTGTTCCTGTCTGATTCGTTGCTGACCCTGCTCTGATCCCTGGCTTGTCTGTCCATTCTCCTGCTCTGATCCCTGGGCTTTGTCTGACCATTCTCCTGCTCTGATCCCTGGCTTTGTCTGACCATTCTCCTGCTCTGATCCCTGGCTTTGTCTGACCATTCTCCTGCTCTGATCCCTGGCTTTGTCTGACCATTCTCCTGCTCTGATCCCTGGCTTTGTCTGACCATTCTCCTGCTTAACCCTATACGTTCTGACCTCCTGTTGTTGATCCCGGCCTGCCTGACGACGCTTGCATTGTATGTTTTGTTATCTGTGGGTGGTTTGGTTTGGTTCGTTTGCATTGTGTTATGTTTTAGTATTGCACTGCGTTTATGTTTGTATTGTTAGTCTTTAATAAATTATATTGTTTATAACTTATCTGAAGCCTGCGTTTCCCTGCGTCAGTCACAAACCTCTGGTCATACCCGGGAGCCCTGACACAGACCCATATGGAAGAAAAATATATTTGAAAAATATTCTTCCCAAATATATTGACATAATTGAAATGCTACAATTTTGGCCGTATTCAATATATATATATATATATATATATATATATATATATTGTGGGAACTCGCTTCAAGTGGTAGAGCTTCTTCAAAGCACACGGCAACTCGCTTATTTTTTAAGGGCCTGTTTGCCCACTTTTATTTAAATGACAGTTCAATAACATAAAGGTTTCCCACGCAGGGGTATCCACCATCACACGAATTCAAATGAACAGTATTCAGCCTCCTGGCTTGTACGCAGTTTTAAGTCTGCCTCCTGCAGACTCTTCCCAAAGTATGGCACTAGCCCACAGCTAGTCTGGCTTCCACCTCTCCTAGGTGTAGCCCACCTGACTCCACGGCAGAGACCTCCTGCCTGCCGGGGTAGAATCCTCCTGACTCCTATCTGCCGGGGTGGAGCCCTCCTGACTCCGTTTGCCGGGGTGGAGCCCAGAATCATGGCCTGGCTTCCCCTAAAAGGCCTGCACACACCTGTGCAATCAGCACGCTGACTGCTCCCAAAATATGGGCCCAGGATTGGAGATTTCATCCCTCCCAAATCTCTAAGAAATCTCCAGGCTACAGGTCCCAAAACAGGCTTTACCAACCAAAGAGGAAACTGATAAACCAGTTTCCTCTGCATTAGGAGATCTGCCTGGAGCCCCTCAACCTCTATGGTTGAGAATCCTGGGTCTCCATCGTGCTTTCCACCGTGGCAGGATACCGCACTGCCACATATCCCCCCCCCTTTGTTTTGATCCCGTAGGGGGCAGAACACACAAGCCCAAACTCTTTACTTTGGCACCTCTGTGCCAGCTTTCACCTATATGAGCCCCTTCCTGACTGACATCACTTTCACAGGGAAACTTTCCTTCCTGTCTTACGAGGCAACTTTCCCTGTGTTCTCCTACTACACGGACTAGGGCTCTAAAAAGACACTGCGCCTTTTTACGGGTTCGCTTCCAAAAGCGTTGCCTTTCTATTTTCCTTGGGGCCACCCAAGTCACCTTCCCATTAAGGAATTTCCAAAACTTGGGACCTTTCTGAGGATGAGGTTGACGCCTGAGTTTTAGGTGTCGGATAACATGAAAGCTACGCTGCGCTCTCAACTGCCGGTTTCCCTTTACCTTTGAAGGGGTCACGCTTTTAAACACAAAAAGTGTGGGCTCTTTTATTGGGGTTCCCTTAGTCCCTCTCTGCATTCTATGTACATGCATCTTCTTACTGACAAAACCTAGCTCGGTTGGTTTCCCCCCGTACACTGCATGCTTCCTTTGGTCACCGACAGTCTCAGATGACAGCAATGTCCTACTCTCCTGCTGAAGGACAGACCGATTGTCTTGCTCTTCAGATGTTTTTATGTCAGAGGACCTCTTTAAATAATCCACTTCCTTAACGTTTTCCTTCAGGGCAGATATGCCATTTAAAGTTTCTCTTCCCAGAGCACCCTCCTGAACCTGTAGGGGGCCTAATTCAGCTGCAGCTTTTAGCTCAGCTGTGTCTACCACCTCATTACCCACCACATCACATGTTTCAGGGTTATCCGCACACATGTCCTCATGACCTTCAGGTGCATCATTAGGCTTATGGTCACCCACAGAAACTAACTGATCTACATTTACCAGTGCCTCGCACTTTTCCAAAATCATCATATTTACCATTTACCAATGCATCGCACTTTTCCTCATCATCATCATAAACAACATTTACAAGGGCCTTGCATTTTTCCTCATGGTCAGAAACATCCACACCTTTGTCAGAACTCATTTCAATGTTTGGCAGGGCAGTGTCTGGAAACCAAGTGCACAGCGGGGAGTGGTTGTCTCCCATGGCAACGTCACTATCCACCAGCTCCACTGGCACATGAACCTCTTCCAGCAACTGTCCTGACACCCCGACCGTCATAACATAATTCTACATTTGGTTTACTGACCCCAATCACTTGACGGGTGCCATCTGACACTTCCACCAACACTGGCTCATTTGGGATCACACTATTCATTCCCACACCATTGGATCCTTTGTGGTTTGTGGGCACGATCTCTGCTATGTGCTCAATCTCACTTGGCCCGTCCATATTGGGAGGGAGACCATCTGCAGCAACAGCAAGTGTGCCCTTGTCTATAAGCTGCTCTGCAGGCCCTCCATTTAGCACAGCAGAAGTCATGTCCACTCCACTGTTGGAAGCAGAGGTCCCTTTTAACAAAGCCAACAGGTTTTCAGCCCATCTGTCCCAGTCTACTTTCTCTGCGCTCCAATCAGAGGTACTACGCAGTACCGCACCAACTGCCGGAGGAGACACAGGACAGAGTGGCTCAGCAGACACATCACATATATCACTTTTGTTCAACCCAAAACTGTGGCACTAAATTTTTAACCTCAACAGGTTGCAATACCACTCCCTCACCACCGTACTCTGATGGCGCTTCATTCACCTCATGAACACTTCCATACCTATTGTCATTACTGACAGACTCCATTAACCCATTATCACCAGGAGCATTTTCAAATATTTCAGTTTTAGCAGCTCCATAGCTGACCTGGGAAATCCTCTGCTCCATCACTGCGGGCTCCTGGGAGGTTTTCCTGGGCATCTCTGCAGCACCTTTCACTAGGGAACACGGTGCCAGGACAGTTTTGGTCACCCCTAGTTTACCTTCCCCAGCCTTCTGCTGGATTATAGCAGGCACCTGCAGAGTCCCCATGTCCTTTTCCATATTTAGTCCTGCTAATCGTTGGGCTGTTCCTTGTGCCTCCCCACTACTCAGGATAGCACACAGCAGCCAGTCCATGTCCCTCTGTATTGCGGAACTCCCTGAAGGACACACTCTCACTTCCTTGGAATCAGTCCCACAAACTGAAAGCAGTCTTACCATTTCCTGAAGCAGGTGTCATAGCCTTCACTTGAGTACGTAGTCTCTCCTCTGTGGTGTCTCCACAGACTGATTTCCCCAAGTGGTCACGGTGCAACACTGCAGCCATTCCGGACCCAACTTACACCCCCTGCAGGCACAACAGGATCCCTGTTGCTAGGGGTAACAGACTCGCTCTCAAAAGGCAGTTGGCTATACCTCATGTTGGACGCAGACTGTTGTGCCCTCCTGTTCAGGGCATGACCACTTCACCTAAGCGGCCGCAACACAACACCTTGTATTTCTCTGGCTTTCTGATCTCTTGGCAGCCAAGGGGCCGGGCTCTCATTCGCAAATTTTTTTCTTTTTTTTGCTTTTTCCGCCCATTTTATCACTTCACAACCTTTGCACAGTCCACACAAAAAAATGAAGACTGCCTCCCTTTAAGGAGGGGCTCCCACCTGCAACAAAACCCAAATTTGCTGTTATTGCACAGAAAAAACAGTTCAATAACTGATGAACTTTTCTTTTGCAGGGGGTCTCCCAAATTTTCCCGCACCTCCACCATATGTGGGGCTCGCTTCAATGGTAGAAAAAAGCACCCTCGCTTATTTTTTAAGGGCCTGTTTTCCCATTTTTTTTAAAGCTTCAAAACATAAAGGTTTTTTCCCGCAGGGGTATCCCCTCACACGAAATTTAAATGAACAGTATTCAGCCTCCTGGGTTGTACCAGTTTTAAGTTGCCCCCTGCAGACTCTCCCAAAGTATGGCACTAGCCCACGCTAGTCGGTTTCCCCCCCAGGTGTAGCCCACCGGGCTCCCGGCG